TGTGTGTGTGTGTGTGTGTGTGTGTGTGTGTGTTATATATATATATATATATATATATATATATATATGTATGTATGTATTATATTATGTAATCTTAGCCTTTGGGGATTAGGAAATTATTCCAGATTAACATGCAATGTGGCTTTGAAGCCTGTTAGTGCCTAAGTTCTCAGCTACAAGTTTTTTCTCTTATGGAGAACACTCATAGCTTCCTTTGAAATGCTGGCCTTTGAGCCTGTATCATCTAACTATATTGTTCGTGAAACATCTTCCTTAGAAAAGACTGTGGCATAGCACTTCTTTCACAAATCCACCCATGGTGACTTTCAGTGTTAAATGATTTGGAATTTGCTGTAAACAAATATTATAGATGCTAAATATGTTACCCATGGTGCTACTGCTTGTGTCTTTGGTGACACACAACTACATTAACAAATACAAATTGTTCTTATAAAGTGTGATTAGCCCTCTCTGTATTAAGAATGAATTTAGTAAAATTCCTATTAAAGTAATGATAATTCTGCTACTAAACAGTAAGCTGGAATATTAACTTTAAAGCTATTTTTTATGGAAAGTGAAATATACTCCAAATTTAGACAAAGATTTAATTTAGTACAGAAAAAAAACTGATGAAATTTAACCTTTGGTAACACAGCTTCTTTACTTTTATTGATTTTTATAATATCACATTTTCAGAAACTAACAAACATGGGCGATTTACCTCCAAGAGGTGGTGGACCAATAAGAGGTAGAGGTTTCCCTCGTATAGCCCGTGGTGGTCCTGCTGGTAGAGGAAGACCACCTAGGGGGTAAGTATTAAAAGTAATTTTATTCATAGATATTAATGAAAATTGACTCTGGTATCATGTTCTACTACTAGCAACTAGTATCTAATCTTTTAATTTTGTTTTTATCATTCTTTTCTTTCTCGTTGACAAACAGTGCGAGTACAGAGATCTGTTTCTTGTTGAGAACTTTCAATTTAGGCAAGTGTACAGTAAAAGTATGTTTTAATTTTTTTTACATTTTCAACTCAGACTCTAAATAAAATACAATGATCATGAATGGCATCAGTACAAGTAGTCATGGCTGGACACTAATCTCTGTATGTCTATCTGGGGATGATGAAATTGCGTGTTGCCCGTCTGATATGACAGCCCAAACTACCAGGTTATTCCACACGCTTCCGATGTTTTGTAAACAAAGTGTCCAACATATAATTATAATGTGACTCCCTCATTGGCTGCTCTCTATGTAACATTTCAATGCACATGCTCTTTGTGGTGTAGCTATGGCCACTTCCATCATGCCAATTTGAAGATGGCAATTTGTTAGGTAAAGTTGAAATAGAATCCTTTGAAATACTTTTATATAATTTGCCACCCAATTTCAAAAACATAAACAATAGGCCACCCTCTTTTCATATGTCAACATATTTATTAGATATGCCAATCCATTTTTCCCAAAATGAGCTATGAAACTTGGAACGAAAACACTGTTGGATTTATTTCATCATTGAGCGATCATTCCCATTTTGACCTCTGCCTGGAGCTATTATATCCACATTTCATGATATAAATGGACACAATATCTTTGAGATGAAAATTTTTGGACCTAAAGGGAATACCTTTATTCTCAAAGCTGAAAATTTTCAAGTTCAGACAGGAACTTAGCTGGTTTAATTTAGGCAATAATAGGGTTATTTACTAACTTGGCGAATACGATGACTGACTATTAATTGTTCATGGGTGATGAACTAGAACAGATAATCCCTTTACTGAGGTGAATCAGTAGATTTTTCACAGGATACAGTGCACGTAAAAATACAGTGTGCCTGAAAATGTTCATATTTTGTTTCCCAAAAATGCTCAGAATCACTGTGAGAGCACCTAATTTCTCAGTCGGATTTACTCAACCTCCACAGGATTTCAGAGTTATTCCTTTTGACATCCCTAACAAGACTAAGTGGATGTACCCTTTATTTGTAATTGGGGCTTGGGTATTACCTTGTAGTACAGTACAGAACATTGTATTATGTTATGGACAAAGTAATTTCCAGTGAGGAGATCTA